GATTCTTTAGGGTTTTCTATATATAAAATCATGTCATCTGCAAATAGTGACAGTTTCACTTCTTCCTTTCCAATTTGCATCCCTTTTATTTCTTTCTCTTGCCTGAATGGCATTCAAGGGCCCTTGGAGGTCTGAGGCTCAGGCAATACTTCCTACCAGCCGGGCACCCTCTCAGGCCCCTGAGCACCGTCCTTTCTGCTCCTGTCCCAGTTCCTGCCTTGGGTGACAAGGAGAATCCAGACAGGCAGCTCTCAGGGGCTTCAGACCCCGGAGTTAGGGGCCTTTTTCTAGTGACCAGGAGCTCTATGGGGAGCCCAGGCTCTAACCACACTTCCTCCTGCTGAGGGCACTGTGGCTGCTTCTGACTCTTACACTGAGGGAGGGTAGAGTCTGAGGGCTTCTGGCCGAGGGATTCCTCCTGTGACTTCTCTGGTCTCCACTCTCCTCCTCCCCTCTTACTCCCTTTTCCCAATGTTAACTCTGATTTTCTGATATGCCAGAGTTCCCACACCAGATTCTCTCCTCACCTCCTCCCCTGTCATCTCATGTGCCCCCTCAGTCCTTTGACCTCTCCCCCCTGCCATCCCCTCCTCTCTACAGTTCTCTGACCCCTCTCTAGTGCGTCCTCCCCTGTCCCCACTTCAGGTCCCTCCTTCCCCCCCGCCCCCCACCGCGTCATTGCCTACAAGGAGCCTTCACCTGCAGGGCTCCTACCTCCCCCCAAATTTCCTGAACTCTAACTTTCTGGAGGTGTGTTTTGCCCAGGTGGTCTTCCCTTCATCCCCACTCTCCTCCCACCCTCACCAAGGGGAGCCCTGAGGCACAGTGAACAGCCCCTTGTGCAGAGACCTGTCCCCTGTCTTGGTGCTCAGTCCTCCTCCCTCCCCTCCAGTGCAGGCTCCTGCTCTTGGTCCTCCTGCATCCTGGGCCTTTCACTCAGCACCACCCCTCCCCAATCCTGCATCCCACACCTCACCCTCTTGAGGCCTCCACTTTCCAGCCCACAGGTGCAGGACTCTCTCTCTCCCTGGTCCCTCTACACTCCTCCCCCCATGGCACCTTGCCCTGCTCTCAACACTTACCCACCTGCCTGGGGCCCTCACCAAGTTCTCATCTGTCACAAGCCCTCATTCCACCCTCACCCAGAACACCCCTCTTCTCCTGTCAGCACCCTAACCCAAGTTATCCCAGGGTCACCCCTGTGCCATGCTCATCCCCAGCCCCCCAGTCCCAGGCTCTCACGATTATCTCCTCTGCTGCCTCTTCCCCATTCCCCCCTATCCCCCCCACCCCCCTCACGCCCCAGCGATGGGAAAAACTACTCTTGGTGCAACTGTCAGCTCCTTGGCCTCCATCCTGCCTCCTTTGGTTCCTTGGCCCCACTGAGCTCTCACTCCCTACACTGTGTATCCAAAATCCTTGTTTATGACACTTGGTTGGCTCTGGCCTTTCTTCACAGTGGGCCTTCTCCCAGCACCATGCCTCCTGTGCTGGAGGCCTAACCCAACCCTCTTTGGAGGTATGACATGGCCTCCCCACTGCCCCGTCCCAAACCATTCCCACCATGTAGGTCCTTCCCCAGGCTGTGCACCTTGGCATTTAAGACCCATTTTTAATTCCATCTCTCCCCCTTCTTTCTAACTCTAAACTACTCGTGGACACACTGCACTGAGTCTTTGAGGTCCTGCCACCTGCATCTCCCCACGGGACCCTTGCGGGTTCACCCATCTCCCCAACTGGGGCCTCACCAAACCTCTTCCACTCTGTGCCCAGGCCCACACCTCGCCTCCCCCAGGGGTACTGGCCCACCCTAAACTCCCTTGTGTCACAATCCACCCCCATGCCCTCTGCCTCACTGCCACACCCTCCCTCGGCCCCGCCTTGTCCGTGATGAGCCTTACCACAGGCAGCAGCCCCTTGCTCCCCATCTTCCCCTAACCTGCCTTTGCACCACAGTCAACCTGACCATGGATCCCTCCCATCCTGGGTCCCTCACATCCCCTCACTCCCCCGTGACAAGATCTCCCCTTCACCATGGCCTTCTTGGCTCTCCCTTGCCCCCTGAAGGCCAACCTCTGCCCTTGACCTCCTACCTTGACCGTTAGGGAGCCCGTGCCTCCCTCTCCTGGCTTCTATCCTACATCTTTGCCCTTCGCTATGCCCCTCCTTCCATTTCTCAATTCCTCTCTCCTCTTTCCTCTTTCCTACTTTCCTGTATTGGAAATCTCACTCTTGTTCCTTTGCACATGTGCATTGTCTGCATCCTCAGGACAGCAGAACTTTTCTGTGAAACATCTGATGTGCAGTTGTTTCCAGGAAGCAGTTTCATCTGGTCTTTCCTTGCCCAGGATCCCAGTCCTTGTTATAACCTCACAGTGGTGTCCCAGGATGGATTTGTGCAGTCGAGATTTTTCACTGAGGGACACTTGCATGGTAGGCCCTTCCTGCACTATGACAGTGAGAAAGGCAGGGCCGAGCCCTGAGGGCTGTGGGTAGAAGATGTCCTGGACACTGAGACATGGGACACAGAGACCAAGGACTTGACAGAGCAGGGGAAGGACCTCAGAAAGACTCTGGCAGACATCACAGCTCTGCAGGACCAGAAAGGAGGTGAGAATGGGAAGAGGGCACAAGTGATGTGCAGCCTTTTCCAAGAAAGTTTGGGGCAGACAACAAGGACCTGTGTCTTTCCAGTGGATTTGGGTGGGGGTTGGGGTGAGGAATGTGGACTGTGGAGCTCAGCATGGAGGTGACCGTGACTCAGCCAGGCCAGGAAGACACGGAGGAGAGAAGGGAGATGACCCCCTGGCTGCAGTTTCTCACTTGGGCAGGGAAGGCAGAGGGACACAGGGAATGGAGACGTCACTGCTGGGTGGGGGGCAGGCTTGCATTCCCTCCAGGAGATTCGGGGCTGCGAGATCCAACAACACAACAGCATCTGAGGCTTGAGGCATTTCTACTATGATGGGGAGCTCTTCCTCTCCTATAACCCCAAGACCCATGGACGGATAGTGCCCCTCGGCTCAGACCCTGGCTGTGGAGATCAAGAAGTCCTGGGACACAGATGGCTTTCAAAGCAAGGATTACTTGGCCAAGGTGCAGGGAGAGCTTTGTGGAAGACTGCGAAGATATCTGGAATCCTGGATGGGCTTCACGGAGAGAACAGGTATGACCCTGGGGCAGGGGCCTCCTCTCCCCCAGACCCCTGGAGCCTCCCTCAATTCTGCCCAAGGAAACCCTCCCTGTACTATGGGTTGCATACATGTTCTTTTGGTGTGTTGTGTTGTGATTTGCGTGTTCTGTTAAAGCCACTGGATAAAGACACCACACAGGTGGCGAGGGGAATGAACTATTCCAGTGTCCATAATCCAGGAAAGCAGTGTGCCCTCAGAGAGAACACTGAACCTGGGGAGGCGGGTGTCCGGCAGGAGAGGAAGCTGTCAGACTGGGGGCCTGTCCCCCTGGCTCCCAGCCTGCCTGCCACAGAGAGCTCACCCCTCACATCCCACTCCTCAGTGTCAACACGTGGATCTAAGAGAGTGAGGCCTCAATCCCACCCATCCTTCTGCTAGTCTAAAGCAACTGGGCCCCAGGACGCAGAACAGACTTGGAGAAGGTCTGGGGACAATGAGGGCTTCAGCCAGAGCTGGAAAGGTGGGGAGGGGCAGCCCTGTTCTCTCCATCTCCCTTAGAGGGGAGCATGGCTTGGCCACCAGCCTCACCGGCTCTGTGCTTTCTTCTCCAGTGCCCCCAGCAGTGAATGTGACCCGCAGCCAGGCCGCGGAGGGCGTGGTAACCCTGACATGCTAGGCTTTTGGCTTCTCTCCCCAGAACATCTCACTGACCTGGTTTCAGGATGAGGAACCCCGGAGCCAGGATGCCCAGCAGTCTGGGGGTGTCCTGCCTGATGGGAATGGGACCTACCAGACTTGGGTGGCCATAAGGATTCCCCAAGGACGAGAGCAGAGGTTCACCTGTTACGTGGAACACAGCGGGAACCACAGTGTACACCCTGTGCCCTCTGGTGAGCCTAGGGTGCTCCTGGAGGGGGTTCTGACCCTGGTAGGGTCAGGGGCCAGGGTGAAGGAGAGGAGAGCAGGCCTGCGGCTCTGGGTGCCCAGGTTATAATAAGGCCGGTTTTCACGAAAGGCCCTGGTACAACAGAGTGGATGGCCAACCGTTCTGGAGGTTGCTGCTCTTATTAGTGCCATTATTGTGTGTGCCCTTTGGTGTGCAAGGAGAAGGCACATCAGCTGCAGAGAGCCCACGTGAATAAACTGAGCACTGGGTGTGGATGGGAGGGGCTCTGCCGAGGTGTGTGTGATCCCTCTCTTCTCTTTTTGCATAGATAGGAGTGGGGATGACAAGCCTTCTCCCTGCTCACTGGAGAGTGTAACAGGAGATGCAAGTTGGAGTAGGTATGAGAGGAATTGGGGGCAGCAACTCCACAAGCGCCCCTTATCTGTGCACATGGCCAAGGTCTGAGCCAAGAATCTTGAATTCTCAACCTTCTCCCTGCTGCCTGGATAAGGAGAGTGCTCAGCTGAGAGCAAGGAGGGCTTGTGGCTCCCACCTATGCTCTGATCTCAATCCTTTCATGTTAGGCTCAGCAGGGCTTGTCCTGTTGAACGGTGTTGGGGATCATGTGCTTATTGGCGAGGCCCGAAGTGAACTTGGGGTCAAGGGGATCAAATGGTGGAAGAGTCTGGGATCTCCTGGGGAGGAAGAGGAAGTAGGGAATAGGAGTGGGGAGTGTTGTATGATGTAACTAGCCTATTTTTTCTGCCTCCCTTCCTCCTTTCCCCTTAATTTCTCCTGCCACTATAAGGAAGCAAGGCAATGCCCCACGATGCCCAAATACAGTGCTCGCACAGTGCCTGAGCCTCCCATCCGTGAAGTGCCCTTGGGAGCCCTGACAGGCCGATGGGTTTCGGGCAGAGAGAGTGGTCTTGTCTCCATTATGTAGCTCCTCAGATTCTTCCATAGGAACTGGTTTCTGTTACCCTTTGAGTCACTCCTACCCTGTACTCTTTGTGAGCTGCCCATAGCGTATTCTCATGCTTCCTGGTGCTTCGCTTCAGAGAATGTGGAACAGCAGACATACGCGGATCATTTTAGGGAAGCAGTTCATTCTCCGGGGGACCCTGGTTACTGTTTTCCCCCTGCCTCTAAGTTCTTTTCCTGTCCAGCCTGTCGTAGGGCACAGTCCCCATTTCCAGAGGGGCATCTGGTCAGTGCGCTTGCACCCTCAGGTTGCCTTTCCTGAGCTAATGCCTGTTTCTAAGGGTGGTCAATGCCCAGTGAATGTGCAGTGAGGGACGGCAGGAAACAATTTTTGCTTCACAATCTGATTGCTTGAAAGAAGAGTTAAAAAAGAGAGAGAAAAGGTCTGTTCTTCAGTAAATAATAAAGGCAATGAAACATAGGTGGAAAGTGGGGTGTGAGCAGGGCACAGGCACCGGGTAAAGTGTCCAGGAGATCCAGGCCTTCAGCTGTCTGCACCACTTCTGCGTGACCTTGGGAAGGTGATTCCCCTCTGCGCCTCTTTTCATCATCTGTTAATCAGGATAATTACACCTGCCCTTGTGCCTCACAGGGTGAGTAGGGGATCCGAAAAGTCACCATGTGCAGTAAGGCTGATGTGCTGCAGGAGTATATCCTGCTTGGCATTTGGTTACCTTGTTCTCAAAAAAACCCTGAAGGCCCAAGGCCTTTCTCCTTTTTTTTCTTTATTTATTTGTTCTGCTTCTGTCTGTCTCTCTCAGACTCCTTCCTTCAGCTATCAGCTCTCCTGTGCTTCCTCTTTTTCCTTTTGTTAACAGCTTTATGGAGGTATGATTTACATCCATGAAATTCATGCAGTGTGAGTGTATAACTCCATAATTTTTAGAACATTATAGACCGTCTCCACAATCCGGTTTTAGAACCTTTCCATCACCCCAGGACTTCCTTTGACCCCCTTGGCACTCAATCTCCATCCCACCCCCAGCCTCAGGCAACCACTAATTTGCTGCTTGTCTCTCTAGGTTTGCCTTGTCTGGACACTTCATATAAACAGAGCTATACGATATGTATTCCTTATTTTGCTATAATGTTTTTGAAGTTCATTCATGTTGTAATATGTATCAGTGGTTCCTTTCCTTTTACTGCCGAACAGTGCCCCATTGCATGGACAAACCACATTTTCTTTATCCCTTCATCAGCTGATGCACATTTGAATTGTTTCCTTTATTTTTGGCTATAATCTATAATGCTGCTATGAAGCTCCACGTTTAGGTTTTGGTGTGAACATATGTTTTCATTTCTCTTGGGTAGATATCTAGAAGTGGAATTGCCGTGTCGTATAGTATGTTGATATTGAACTTTGTAGGAATCGGATAAAGCATTTTCCAAAATTACTGTTTTATTTTACATGTTCACCAGCAGTGTATACACCAGCAATGAGGGTTCTAGTTTCTCTGCATTTTCAGCAACACTTGTTTCTGTCTGTCTTTTTTGTGATAGTCATTCTGATGAGTGTGTAGTGGTATCTCATGGTTTTAGTTTGCATTTCCCTATTGACTAATGATGTTGATAATCTTTCTGTATGCTTATTATAAGCTATTTGTACGTCTCCTTGAGTGAAATGTCTATTCAAATCTCATGTTCATTTTTTAAATTAATTTTCATTAATTTTGAGATAAAATTTTTTTGAGATAATTATAGATTCACATGCATTTTAAAAAATAATACAGAGAAATTATATATATACCACACCTAGTTACCCCCATTGGCAACATCTTGCATAACTTTAGTACAATGTCACAGGCAGGAAATTGACACTATCATCCATCAGATTGTACCAGTTTTACATGCGTTCATGTGTATGTGTGTAATTAGTTCTGTACAATTTTGTCACATGTGTAGAATTATGAGACCAGCAGCACAGTCAAGAAATAGAACAGTTCCATGACAAGGAACCTTTGTGCTGCCCTTTTACAGGCAAAGCCACCCCCACCCCCAACCTTGACAACCAATAATCTGTTCTCCAGCTCTATAATTTTGTCATTTGGAGAATGTTAAATAAATGGAGTCACACAGTATGTAACCTTTGGAGACCGGCCAGCATAAATAACTAACCTTTTTTCACCCAGCATAAATTCCTTGAGATCCATCCTTGAGAATAACTTCCTAACTGGGAAGCCCATCAGGAAGCTCAGGTAACCAGCAGGTCCAGTCTAGAAAAACTGGGCTGCCAGAGGGTCTGCAGGGGGAGGTCAGTGCCTGTGGTTGAGCAGGCAACCTCCTCAGTGGAGCAGACCCCGGCCCTGAGGGCAGGTGCTTGTGCAGGTGAGGAGGCTGAGAAGTAAGGAGAGGAGGAACTGTGTATGACCACTCCCAGGCCTGGAGGACCAAGGAGCCGGGGCCTCTCCTTCACGGAGGGCTTCCACTGTGTTGGGGGTTGGGTGGGGGCTTGAGAGGAGGGGAGGGCTTTGGGTTTCCACTCCTGGATGTTGTCCTTTAGCCCTCTGGCCCTTTCACACTCTTGCATGGTGGGTGGTGCAAACAAGAACAGGTGATGTTGATGGAGTCATGGGAGGAGACTAGCAAGGGCTGGGAAAAGTGGGGTGAGAGGGAGAATCAAGCTGGGACAATATTTTTCCTGCTTAACTCAAGGCCTAAAATCTGAAGAGCCTGTGGAGGGAGTATCTCTGAGAGGACAGAAGGATTTCCTGCTCAATTAACTCACATCTGTTGATCATTTTTTCTTTTACCTTCTTCCCCAGAATTTGTGAGGCTACAAGCCTGCTGCCAACACCCCATGGTGCCAGAGGACCATAAGGGGCCCCAAATCCAAGATTTGAATCTCCTTGGTCAGTTCCCCAGTCCACTGGTTCAACTGGAGGAGCCCAGGTTCTGCAACCAGGTGGCCTGGATTCAACTTGGTGCTCTGGTCTTACTAGCACTCTCCCTCTTAGTGCCTCAGTTTCGTCATCTGGGAAATGATGAAGACACTACAGCACTTACCTGTAGGGCAGGGTTTCTCAACGTTGGCACCGTTAACATTTTGGCCCAGATAATCCTGTTGTGGGGAGCTGTCCTGTGTGTTGTGGGATGTTTAGCTGTATTCCTGGCTTCTACCCACCAGATGCCAGTAGTACCCCACTTTATACCTCTCTCTGCCAAGTGTGACAAGCAGAAATGACCCAGATATTTCAAAATGTCTCCTGGGGCCAAAATCTCCCATGGTTGAGAACCACAGAGGTGTGGCCGGGCCAGGAGCTCTGCCTGCCTGGGTCTAGTCCGGCTCTAGGAGAGGCCTAGGTCAGGCATTGCCACACCTTCACACGTGAGCTTATCTTTTGCTTTAGTCCAAATAAGGCCTTTTCCCTCCTATTTTTCTGTGCTTAAAACTTCTATTCATATTTAAAACAAATCAATTTTCCTGTATCTCCGCATTCACTTAATCCTGCCTCACCTTTTTTTTTGGTATATCCTGGATTGTATCAAATTCAATTCTAGTAATTAGTGTATTTTGACATATACAATACATGGTATTGCTCCAAGAAGAATTCTGATTCCTTTAGGGCAGAGAATGTGTTCTCAATTCTACAATCCAGATGACCTAATTCAATTTATATTACTTTACTTCTCCAGAGTGTTACTCTTCATTTTTAAAATATGAATATGAATAATACTTGAATTATTAGGCAGTTTATTCCTTCATTCAATAAATGTTTATTGCACACCCACTATGTCAAATATGTGGTGTCATAGTGTCTCAAGGATCACATCAGATCAAATAAATTGTATTATAGATGTTGTAAA